CGCCATCTGTTCCATCTCACTCCCTTGTACCACGTGTGTGGACTAATCTCTATCTGTTCCATCTCACTCCCTTCTACCATGTGTGTGGACTAATCTCCATCTGTTCCATCTCACTCCCTTCTACACCGTGTGTGGACTAATCTCCATCTGTTCCATCTCACTCACTTCTACCACGTGGGTGGACTAATCTCCATCTGTACCATCTCACTCCCTTCTACCACGTGTGTGGACTAATCTCCATCTGTTCCATCTCACTCCCTTCTACCCGTGTGTGTGGACTAATCTCCATCTGTTCCATCTCACTCCCTTCTACCACGTGGGTGGACTAATCTCCATCTGTTCCATCTCACTCTCTTCTACACCGTGGGTGGACTAATCTCCATCTGTTCCATCTCACTCCCTTCTACCACGTGTGTGGACTAATCTCCATCTGTTCCTTCTCACTCACTTCTACACCGTGTGTGGACTAATCTACATCTGTTCCATCTCACTCCCTTCTACACCGTGTGTGGACTAATCTCCATCTGTTCCTTCTCACTCACTTCTACACCGTGTGTGGACTAATCTCCATCTGTTCCATCTCACTACCTTCTACCACGTGGGTGGACTAATCTCCATCTGTTCCATCTCACTCCCTTCTACCACGTGTGTGCACTAATCTCCATCTGTTCCATCTCACTCACTTCTACCACGTGGGTGGACTAATCTCCATCTGTTCCATCTCACTCCCTTCTACCACGTGGGTGGACTAATCTCCATCTGTTCCATCTCACTCCCTTCTACCCGTGTGTGGACTAATCTCCATCTGTTCCATCTCACTCTCTTCTACACCGTGTGTGGACTAATCTCCATCTGTTCCATCTCACTCCCTTCTACACCGTGTGTGGACTAATCTCCATCTGTTCCATCTCACTCCCTTCTACCCGTGTGTGTGGACTAATCTCCATCTGTTCCATCTCACTCCCTTCTACCCGTGTGTGTGGACTAATCTCCATCTGTTCCATCTCACTCCCTTCTACTACGTGTGTGGACTAATCTCCATCTGTTCCATCTCACTCCCTTCTACCACGTGTGTGGACTAATCTCCATCTGTTCCATCTCACTCCCTTCTACACCGTGTGTGGACTAATCTCCATCTGTTCCATCTCACTCCCTTCTACACCGTGTGTGGACTAATCTCCATCTGTTCCATCTCACTCCCTTCTACCACGTGTGTGGACTAATCTCCATCTGTTCCATCTCACTCCCTTCTACACCGTGTGTGGACTAATCTCCATCTGTTCCTTCTCACTCCCTTCTACACCGTGTGTGGACTAATCTCCATCTGTTCCATCTCACTCCCTTGTACCACGTGTGTGGACTAATCTCCATCTGTTCCTTCTCACTCACTTCTACACCGTGTGTGGACTAATCTCCATCTGTTCCATCTCACTCCCTTCTACCACGTGGGTGGACTAATCTCCATCTGTTCCATCTCACTCCCTTCTACCACGTGTGTGCACTAATCTCCATCTGTTCCATCTCACTCACTTCTACCACGTGGGTGGACTAATCTCCATCTGTTCCATCTCACTCACTTCTACACCGTGTGTGGACTAATCTCCATCTGTTCCATCTCACTCCCTTCTACCACGTGTGTGGACTAATCTCCATCTGTTCCATCTCACTCCCTTCTACCCGTGTGTGGACTAATCTCCATCTGTTCCTTGTCACTCCCTTCTACCACGTGTGTGCACTAATCTCATCTGTTCCATCTCACTCACTTCTACCACGTGGGTGGACTAATCTCCATCTGTTCCATCTCACTCACTTCTACCACGTGGGTGGACTAATCTCCATCTGTTCCATCTCACTCACTTCTACACCGTGCATGGACTAATCTCCATCTGTTCCATCTCACTCACTTCTACCACGTGGGTGGACTAATCTCCATCTGTTCCATCTCACTCACTTCTACCACGTGGGTGGACTAATCTCCATCTGTTCCATCTCACTCACTTCTACACCGTGCATGGACTAATCTCCATCTGTTCCATCTCACTCTCTTCTACACCGTGTGTGGACTAATCTCCATCTGTTCCATCTCACTCCCTTCTACACCGTGTGTGGACTAATCTCCATCTGTTCCATCTCACTCACTTCTACCACGTGGGCGGACTAATCTCCATCTGTTCCATCTCACTCACTTCTACCACGTGGGTGGACTAATCTCCATCTGTTCCATCTCACTCACTTCTACACCGTGCATGGACTAATCTCCATCTGTTCCATCTCACTCTCTTCTACACCGTGTGTGGACTAATCTCCATCTGTTCCATCTCACTCCCTTCTACACCGTGTGTGGACTAATCTCCATCTGTTCCATCTCACTCCCTTCTACCCGTGTGTGTGGACTAATCTCCATCTGTTCCATCTCACTCCCTTCTACCCGTGTGTGTGGACTAATCTCCATCTGTTCCATCTCACTCCCTTCTACTACGTGTGTGGACTAATCTCCATCTGTTCCATCTCACTCCCTTCTACCACGTGTGTGGACTAATCTCCATCTGTTCCATCTCACTCTCTTCTACACCGTGTGTGGACTAATCTCCATCTGTTCCATCTCACTCCCTTCTACACCGTGTGTGGACTAATCTCCATCTGTTCCATCTCACTCCCTTCTACCCGTGTGTGTGGACTAATCTCCATCTGTTCCATCTCACTCCCTTCTACCCGTGTGTGTGGACTAATCTCCATCTGTTCCATCTCGCTCCCTTCTACTACGTGTGTGGACTAATCTCCATCTGTTCCATCTCACTCCCTTCTACCACGTGTGTGGACTAATCTCCATCTGTTCCATCTCACTCCCTTCTACCACGTGTGTGGACTAATCTCCATCTGTTCCTTCTAACTCACTTCTACACCGTGTGTGGACTAATCTCCATCTGTTCCATCTCACTCCCTTCTACACCGTGTGTGGACTAATCTCCATCTGTTCCATCTCACTCCCTTCTACCACGTGTGTGGACTAATCTCCATCTTTTCCATCTCACTCCCTTCTACACCGTGTGTGGACTAATCTCCATCTGTTCCTTCTCACTCCCTTCTACACCGTGTGTGGACTAATCTCCATCTGTTCCATCTCACTCCCTTGTACCACGTGTGTGGACTAATCTCCATCTGTTCCTTCTCACTCACTTCTACACCGTGTGTGGACTAATCTCCATCTGTTCCATCTCACTCCCTTCTACCACGTGGGTGGACTAATCTCCATCTGTTCCATCTCACTCCCTTCTACCACGTGTGTGCACTAATCTCCATCTGTTCCATCTCACTCACTTCTACCACGTGGGTGGACTAATCTCCATCTGTTCCATCTCACTCACTTCTACACCGTGTGTGGACTAATCTCCATCTGTTCCATCTCACTCCCTTCTACCACGTGGGTGGACTAATCTCCATCTGTTCCATCTCACTCCCTTCTACCACGTGGGTGGACTAATCTCCATCTGTTCCATCTCACTCCCTTCTACACCGTGTGTGGACTAATCTCCATCTGTTCCTTCTCACTCCCTTCTACACCGTGTGTGGACTAATCTCCATCTGTTCCATCTCACTCCCTTGTACCACGTGTGTGGACTAATCTCCATCTGTTCCTTCTCACTCACTTCTACACCGTGTGTGGACTAATCTCCATCTGTTCCATCTCACTCCCTTCTACCACGTGGGTGGACTAATCTCCATCTGTTCCATCTCACTCCCTTCTACCACGTGTGTGCACTAATCTCCATCTGTTCCATCTCACTCACTTCTACCACGTGGGTGGACTAATCTCCATCTGTTCCATCTCACTCACTTCTACAACGTGTGTGGACTAATCTCCATCTGTTCCATCTCACTCCCTTCTACCACGTGTGTGGACTAATCTCCATCTGTTCCATCTCACTCCCTTCTACCCGTGTGTGGACTAATCTCCATCTGTTCCTTGTCACTCCCTTCTACCACGTGTGTGCACTAATCTCCATCTGTTCCATCTCACTCACTTCTACCACGTGGGTGGACTAATCTCCATCTGTTCCATCTCACTCTCTTCTACCACGTGGGTGGACTAATCTCCATCTGTTCCATCTCACTCACTTCTACACCGTGCATGGACTAATCTCCATCTGTTCCATCTCACTCACTTCTACCACGTGGGTGGACTAATCTCCATCTGTTCCATCTCACTCACTTCTACCACGTGGGTGGACTAATCTCCATCTGTTCCATCTCACTCACTTCTACACCGTGCATGGACTAATCTCCATCTGTTCCATCTCACTCCCTTCAACACCGTGTGTGGACTAATCTCCATCTGTTCCATCTCACTCCCTTCTACCACGTGTGTGGACTAATCTCCATCTGTTCCATCTAACTCCCTTCTACCACGTGGGTGGACTAATCTCCATCTGTTCCATCTCACTCCCTTCTACCATGTGGGTGGACTAATCTCCGTCTGTTCCATCTCACTCCCTTCTCCCACGTGTGTGGACTAATCTCCATCTGTTCCGGCCTTCATAGCACTTGCCCCTACAGTCTGTTAAGGCTATATGGGGGATCTTTGTGTGTAGCTGTGTGTGTGTGTAGCTGTGTGTGTGTGTAGCTGTGTGTGTCTAGCTGTGTGTGTGCGTGTAGCTGTGTGTGTGTGTACCTGTGTGTGAGTAGCTGTGTGTGTGTGTAGCTGTGTGTGTGTGTACCTGTGTGTGTGTAGCTGTGTGTGTGTAGCTGTGTGTGTGCGTAGCTGTGTGTGTGTGTGTAGCTGTGTGTGTGTACCTGTGTGTGTGTAGCTGTGTGTGTGTGTAGCTGTGTGTGTGTGGCCTCAGGGTGCACATAGCCTGGCACAAGCGTCGTGGTGACGTCACCGCCACTTAGTGGCGAATGGTGGTTGTTGTTGTGTGTAGCTGTGTGTGTGTAGCTGTGTGTGTGTAGATGTGTGTGTGTGTACCTGTAGGTAAGTGTCCAGTTGAAGACCGTATGGAGACCTCTGGGCAGGTGAGCGTAGGGAGGGGGCTCCATGCAGCCCCACACCCAGATCTGGCCCGTAGGCCGTTTCCTGTCCCCATCAACATCACCAACAACATCACCGTCAACATCAACATCACCTTCTCGGCCACGGTCATTCCCTCCCTTCTCTACGCTTGCGAAACGTGGACCCCCCCAATGGAACATCTTCGCCGGTTAGAAACATGTAGGCTGGCCAGCCTACGATCCATCCTGGGTTTAACCAGACTGGATTGTGTGAGGAGCTCACAAATCCTTGAACGATGTGGACAAAGTCCCATCGGTGAGCTCCTCCGGCAGGCAAGGCTGCGTTGGCTGGGTCATGTAGCCTGCATGCCCAGCCACCGCATGGCGAAACAGCTTTTGTTCGGCCGGATTGAGGGGACTAAACGGGCGCGGCACGGGCTAGAGAAGAGATGGAGTGATGTGGTACAGGAGGACGTGGAGCTGAGTGGAGGTAGTCGCCCTCCAACAACAACGGAGGGCGGAGGAGCGACGCTCACAACAACGAGCGGAGCGCCGGGTGGCTAAAGCATAGCAGGTTGGCACAGTAGGGGGCACAGGTGGTGCATCAGCCAGTCATCTCAGTCATCTCAGTCAGTCGACCCGTGGCACCTGGGTCTGCCCCGTGACCTCCTGCCAGCGGGCGTTCAACACTTCACGTGGCCTCAAGGTGCACATGGCCTGGCACAAGCGTCGTGGTGACGTCACCGCCACTTAGTGGCGAATGTTGTGTCTGTGTGTGTGTTGTGTCTGTGTGTGTACTGTGTGTGTGTGTACCTGTGTGTGTGCACCTGTGTGTGTGTCTGTGTGTGTGTATGTGTGTGTACGATATTGTGGGGAGCGATAGTGTAGCGGTTAGCGCGCTGCGCTATGAACCTGGCACCCGGGTTCGATTCCCGCTCACAGCCAACACCAGTGACGATTATCTGAACCGGTCCCGGGCCTCCCCTAGGTCGACTCAGCCTCAAATGAGTACCTGGTGCGGTGTGTAAACATCGCGACTAGGGAGACAAAGGCGGTCGGGCGTGGTGCTGGCCACTCACCCCCTCGTGTACCGTTCCGGCCTTCATAGGTGCTCGCTAACAGCACTTGCCCCTACAGTCTGTTAAGGCTATATGGGGGATATTTGTCTTTGTATGCGTGTGTGTACTGTGTGTGTGTGAGTGAGAAGTACCGGTGTGGGAGGTTGGCCAGATCACGACGCACGTGTATGTGTGTGTACCCGTGTGTGTGTCTGTGTGTGTACTCTGTGTGTGTGTACCTGTGTGTGTACCTGTGTGTGTACTCTGTGTGTGTGTACCTGTGTGTGTACCTGTGTGTGTACCTGTGTGTGTACCTGTGTGTGTACCTGTGTGTGTACTCTGTGTGTGTGTACCTGTGTGTGTACTCTGTGTGTGTGTACCTGTGTGTGTGTACCTGTGTGTGTGTGTGTCTGTGTGTGTACTGTGTATGTGTGTACCTGTGTGTGTGTGTGTACCTGTGTGAGAGAGACGTACCGGTGTGGGAGGTTGGCCAGGTCACGACGCACGTGTCTGTGTGTGTACCTGTGTGTGTACACAGTGTGTGTGTACCCGTGTGTGTGTGTACCTGTGTGTGTGTGTGTACCTGTGTGTGTCTGTGTGTCTGTGTGAGAGAGACGTACCCGTGTGGGAGGTTGGCCAGGTCACGACGCACGTGTCTGTGTGTGTGTACCTGTGTGTGTGTGTACCTGTGTGTGTGTGTGTACCTGTGTGTGTGTACCTGTGTGTGTGTGTACCTGTGTGTGTGTGTACCTGTGTGTGTGTGTACCTGTGTGTGTGTGTACCTGTGTGTGTGTGTACCTGTGTGTGTGTGTCTGTGTGTGTACCCGTGTGTGTGTGTACCTGTGTGTGTACCTGTGTGTGTGTGTACCCCTGTGTGTGTGTGTACCTGTGTGTGTGTACCTGTGTGTACCTGTGTGTGTCTGTGTGTGTGTGTGAGAGAGAGACGTACCGGTGTGGGAGGTTGGCCAGGTCACGACGCACGTGTCTGTGTGTGTGTACCTGTGTGTGTGTGTACCTGTGTGTGTGTACCTGTGTGTGTGTGTGTGTACCTGTGTGTGTACCTGTGTGTGTGTGTACCCGTGTGTGTGTGTACCTGTGTGTGTGTGTACCTGTGTGTGTGTGTGTCTGTGTGTGTGTGAGAGAGAGACGTACCGGTGTGGGAGGTTGGCCAGGTCACGACGCACGTGTCTGTGCAGGAACACCACCGCGTCAGCCGAGGAGAGGAGACGCGCGTCCTGGGACAGGTGACAGCCGGGGGACACGCCGAGACGCAGGCACTCATCACCCCGCAGAGGACTCGCTCCTGGCAGACGACACGCGGGGGGGAGACACGCGGGGAGACACGGGGAGAGAGACACGGGGAGAGACACGGGGAGAGAGACATGGAGAGAGACACGGAGAGAGACACACGGGGAGAGAGACACGGGGAGAGACAGGGGGAGAGAGACACGGGGAGAGAGACACGGAGAGAGACACGGGGAGAGAGACACGGGGAGAGACACACGGGGAGAGAGACACGGGGAGAGACACGGGGAGAGAGACACGGGGAGAGACACGGGGAGAGAAACGGGGAGAGAGACACGGGGAGAGAGACACGGGGAGAGACACACGGGGAGAGACACACGGGGAGAGACACACGGGGAGAGACACACGGTGAGAGACACGGAGAGACACACGGTGAGAGACACACGGGGAGGGACACGTGGGGAGAGAGACAGGGAGAGAGACACGAGGAGAGAGACAGGGAGAGAGACACACGGGGAGAGAGACACGGGGAGAGAGACACACGGGGAGGGACACACGGGGAGAGAGACAGGGAGAGAGACACGAGGAGAGAGACAGGGAGAGAGAGACACACGGGGAGAGAGACACGGAGAGAGAGACAGGGAGAGAGACACACGAGGAGAGATACACGGGGAGAGACACACGAGGAGAGAGACACGGGGAGGGACACGGGGAGAGACACGGGGAGGGACACGGAGAGACATGGGGAGGGAGACACGGGGAGAGAGACACGGGGAGGGACACACGGGGAGAGAGACACGGGGAGAGAGACACACGGGAAGAGAGACACACGAGGAGAGAGACACACGAGGAGAGAGACACACGAGGAGAGAGACAGGGAGAGAGACACGGGGAGAGACACACGGGGAGAGAGACACGGGGAGATTGAGAACCAATGGGGTTGCGAGGCCGCAGTGACGGTTGAGCGCCGCTGCTCTATGACGTAGGGGGGGGGGGGGGTGACGCAGAGGCCGCGGTGACGCCGTGAGAAGTCGTGACGCAGAGACTGAGAGACGCGTGGTGGTGGTGGTGGTGCTGGGTAGCGTCTAGAAGCATCACCCAGCAGCGTCACAAAGCCTCGTGCGACGGTGATGAAGATGACGATGATGACGATTATGATGATGATGACGACGATGACGGTGACGATGACGACGACGACGACGACAGTGATGACGGTGACGACGATGACAATGACGACGGTGACGACGACGATGACGACGATGACGGCGATGATGACGGTGACGATGACAATGACGATGGTGACGATGACGACGACGATGACGACGATGACGGTGATGACGATGACAATGACGACGGTGACGACGATGACGACGATGACGGCGATGACGGTAACGATGACAATGACGACGGTGACGATGACGACGGCGATGACGACGGTGACAACGACGACGACGGTGACGACGATGACGGTGATGACGATGCTACGCCCAGGCAGCCGTTACGACCGCCGCTTATTCCGCCTGGCGCTGCGACGCAGCTCCGTTGGCCCCGAATCGCGTTACTCCTACGCCCAATGTGCGCCTGCGTCACAGCACAAATGGGCGTCCCCTCCAACACATTCGCGTTCGTGTTGTGTGTCCAATCGGCGCCGTGCCAACACCTCGTGACGTTAGGGGAGAGCGCCGACACTGGAACCGATCTCACCCTTTGTAAATGGCCACCTCCACGCCAACACAGTGAAGTTTCTGCTGCTGCTGCTGTTGTTGCTGCTGTAGTTGTTGTTGTTGCTGCTGCTGTTGTAGTTGTTGTTGTTGCTGCTGCTGCTGCTGCTACGGTAGCTGCCGCTGCTGCCCACGTGCTGGTGGTCACGTGGGCCGTGTGACGTTGACCGCGATAGCCTCGCGTCACGTCGGCCGTTGTGAACGGCGCCTGCAAGGCGGCAGGGTTGGCGTTGCGAGGGAGCCAGGGTTGGCGGGACACGGGGAGATGGAGCGAGCGAGTCTGTCTGTCCGAGTTCGACTCCCGCTCAGGGCCACCGCCAACACCACCGGTGACGATTATCTCACCCGGTCCCTGGATCTCCTCCCCTGGGTCGACTCAGCCTCAAATGAGTAACCCGGTACGGTGCGCAGTAAACATCGTCACTGGGGGAGACAAAGGCGGCCGGGCGTGGTGCTGGCCACCCACCCCCCTCGTGTGCTCACATTGCCGGCAGCCTTCATAGCTGCTGCTCGTTAACAGCGCTCGCCCCAACAGTCTGTTACGGGCTACACGGGAAATCCTGTGATGCCATTCGCAAGCTCCTGGCAGACTGATGCACAGGGACAGCTGCCACTGGGGGTGCCCCTAGGCGAGACCACACAGCAGACTGATGCACAGGGACAGCTGCCACTGGGGGTGCCCCTAGGCTAGACCACACAGCAGACTGATGCACAGGAACAGCTGCCACTGGGAGTGCCCCTAGGCGAGACCACACAGCATACTGATGCACAGGGACAGCTGCCACTGGGGGTGCCCCTAGGCGAGACCACACAGCATACTGATGCACAGGGACAGCTGCCACTGGGAGTGCCCCTAGGCGAGACCACACAGCAGACTGATGCACAGGGACAGCTGCCACTGGGGGTGCCCCTAGGCTAGACCACACAGCAGACTGATGTACAGGGACAGCTGCCACTAGGGGTGCCCCTAGACGAGACCACACAGCACACTGATGCACAGAGACAGCTGCCACTGGGGATGCCCCTAGGCGAGACCACACAGCAGACTGATGCACAGGGACAGCTGCCACTGGGGGTGCCCCTAGGCTAGACAACACAGCAGCAGCAACATTCGCATCACAACTCGCACACTGATGCCCCCTCCCCTCAATCCTGGTCTCTCTCGAGTCCTGTCGCCTGGCTAAACAAAATATTGAATGGATGCAGCCCTCCCCGAGCATCTGGTGCTGCTAGTGGTGTGGTGGTGGTGCGGTGGTGGTGCTGGTGTGGTGGTGGTGCTGGTGGTGGTGTGGTGGTGGTGTGGTGGTGCTGCTAGTGGTGGTGGTGTGGTGGTGCTCGTGGTGGTGTGGTGGTGATGCTGGTGTGGTGGTGGTGGTGCTACTGGTGGTGTGATGGTGGTGCTGGTGGTGCAGTGGTGGTGCTGGTGGTCCGGTGGTGGTGCTGGTGGTGTGGTGGTGCTGGTGGTGTGGTGGTGGTGCTGGTGGTGGTGGTGCGGTGGTGGTGTGGTGCTGCTAGTGGTGTGGTGGTGGTATGGTGGTGTGGTGGTGGTGAGAATCTGGTGTGACGATGTGGCCTGGTTGTGACTTGCTGCTGCTGCTGGTGGTGGTGTGGGGAGGGAAGACGATGCCGAAGAGGATGACGATGACTCCACAGGAGAACCAGGCCACAGCGCACAGCCACAGCCTCATGCGGCGCATCGAGGGCACGGCGCAACCAAATCTGCAAAGTGCAGAGAAGCAGAGGGCCAGAGAGAGAGAGAGACGCACGCTTGTGTGTGAGTAGGGGGGTGAGTGGGTGGGTGAGTGACGAGATGGGTGAGTGGTTGGGTGGGTCGGTGAGCAGGTGGGTGAGTGGGTCGGTTAGTAGGTGAGTGGGTGCGTGAATGGGTGGGTGGGTGAATGAATAAGTGAATGAGTGAGTGGTTGAGTGAGTGAGTGAATGAGTGAGTGAATGAGTGAGTGAATGAGTGAGTGAATAGGTCAGCGGATGTACACGTGAGTCGGTGGGTTGACGGGTGGGTGGAGTCGGTGAGTGAATGAGTGAGTGAATGAGTGAATGAATGAGTGAATGAATGAGTGGGCGTGTGAGCGATGTGGATGGGTGAGAGAGTGAATCGGCGAGTGGTTGAGCGAGTGGATGAATGAGTTGGTGTGTGACATTGCTGGATGTAAGCGGGTCATTCAGTTAGTGAGTTTGCGGGTGAGTCGCTGGATTAACCTGTAGGCGAGCTCATCATTTTAAACAATGTATTTATAGTTTTTTTTAAAAACACACACAAGTGATTTAATTAAATGTACTAACCTGAAGGCTTTCATGGCTGGTTGAACACGCAGTTGGGGTCTGTCTCCTTCACGTCCAAAAGAGAGCTTGGCATTGACGGGGGGGGGGGGTGGGGGGGGTGAAACTTCCGCGAATTCATAAAATCCCCAAAATCTCACGGTCCCAAACCCAAGCCGCTCAAACTACAAAACCACAAAACCTCCCACCACGGGCCCCCTCTCTCTCACCCCACCCCCCCTTCCAGAAATCACACTTTGGTATTGCCCGCGCTCTAATCAACGGAGTAAACGGACATCGCTCCCCGCCACGGGACTGTACCATTAACAAAATACGAGACAGGGGGGGGGGGGTGGTGGTTACAAATCAGATATTTTTCATATATATATTTTTTTATCGAATAAGTTTTTAGCAACGTCCAATAGCAATGAATTGCTCGGGGTAAAAAAATACTGCATTAAGCAAAAAATTATAATCACTCAAAAATAGTAAATAGCCAAAACTAAATAATTAATAGCCAGGTCGATCAACTCCTCTGTCTCTCAGTGTTAATCATCATCACGATGGTCGATCCAACTGCTGGGTGAAGATCGACGCGATGATGATGTCCCTACCTTGTCTGTGTTCTCTACCCCGCGTGTTCCTCTTTATTCCATTGCGGTATCGAATGGAAGAGTCCATTAAGTTGCCTTGGCACGATGCACTTCCCCCTGCCCCCCCCCCCTCTATAATTATCAACGAATGGTTTCGTCCGTGTTCCCGTTATCTTTAGAAGACACATGGCACGACCCCCCCCCCCCCCCCCCACTTTACTCAATGGTTTGGTCCGAACAGCGACCTTATCCGATGCAGACGCAAGAAGAACTTGCATGTGACCCAGTGAGCCTCAATGACTAACACTGGGCCCTAATAACCTTCAGGGTGCCTTAGTCTGGCTCAGTGAGCCTCAGTCACTAACACTGGGCCCTAATAACCTTAATGGTGCCTTAGCCTGGCTCAGTGAGCCTCAGTAACTAACACTGGGCCCTAATAACCTTCAGGGTGCCTTAGCCTGGCTCAGTGAGCCTCAGTAACTAACACTGGGCCCTAATAACCTTCAGGGTGCCTTAGCCTGGCTCAGTAAGCCTCAGTAACTAACACTGGGCCCTAATAACCTTCAGGGTGCCTTAGCCTGGCTCAGTGAGCCTCAGTAACTAACACTGGGCCCTAAGGATCTTAATAGTGCCTTAGTCTGGCTCAGTGAGGCTCAGTAACTAACACTGGGCCCTAATAACCTTCAGGGTGCCTTAGTCTGGCTCAGTGAGCCTCATTCACTAACACTGGGCCCTAAGGATCTTAATGGTGCCTTAATCTGGCTCAGTGAGCCTCAGTCACTAACACTGGGCCCTAATAACCTTCAGGGTGCCTTAGTCTGGCTCAGTGAGCCTCAATGACTAACACTGGGCCCTAATAACCTTCAGGGTGCCTTAGTCTGGCTCAGTGAGCCTCATTCACTAACACTGGGCCCTAAGGATCTTAATGGTGCCTTAGTCTGGCTCAGTGAGCCTGTCATTGACAATGGGCACCAGGAATTTTCAGGGTGCCTTAGAGCGCCTCCACAAGCCTCTGGAATTGACACTGGACCCTGTTAGTCTGTCCCGAGGAGTGCCTAGGCGTGACACTGGACCCTTTGAAGCCTGACTCTCATTACAGAGTCGAGCATCAACACGTGCAACGCTACGAAATCTTTGTCTTTGCCCTGTGCTGCCTACAACGGAGCCCCCCGCTACCCCCCCCCCCCCCCCCCCCCCCCCCGAAGCAGACTAACCAGTACTCTTTGGTTCTATTCGGTAAAGTCACGTAGGTAAAAAAATAAAACAACAAAAAATCACGACGTTTCGGCCACAACACAAGTGACTTTACCGAATAGAACCAAAGAGTATGGATCCTTGCAGTCACAGCTTTAAATCTAGACCAGTGGTTCTTAACCTTGTTGGAGGTACCGAACCCCACCAGTTTCATATGCGCATTCACCGAACCCCTCTTTAGTGAAAAATAAAATGTGATTTTTTTCAAATTCAAGACGTAGATATGTTTTTTACTGGTACACAAAATGAGCCGTGCATGAACATTACCTTGTTCAAAGAATAAAACCAACACAATGCATAAACTCACAACAAATTACATACCTGGAAATCAATGTGACTTCTGCTGTTGCCTTTGAGAGATCAGTTCAGATATGCGTGGCTTCACCTTGGCAAGTGCCACTCTCATGTCATTTTCACAGCAAAGTCTGTTCCTTTTCTTCGTTTTATGTCCAGCATCCTCGAAAAGGATTGCTCACAAAGATATGTTGTAACAAATGGTATAAAAAAAATCCAGGGCTTTCTTAGCAATAACTGGATACTTGTTCATTTGTCGACACCAAAACGTTGAGAGCGTTGTTGTTCTGAAGAGTTGCTGTTGAACCTGGCTCTGCTGAATTTCAATGATTTCGTCGAGGAATTCATCATTGACATCTGCTGTTTCAACAGCAAACGTGAACGGCTGTCTCACCCATGCTGGATATGACTCTCTTGTAGGGAAATATCCGTCGAGAGACTTTGCAAGCTCATCTAAGTGCGTGGCAATTGTTTGCTTAAGTTCCGTGGATACAGAAATATCTCCGATTCCAGACACATCTTCGATCTTACTTGCACAGTCGTCCAGAAGCGGGAAGTTTGCGAAGTTATTGTTCTCTGTTCGTCGTTTCCATAACGGTAGCTTTTTTTGAAAAGCCTTCAGGTGTTCTTCCGCTTCCATGATATTGACTCCACCACCCTGCATCTGCTGATTGAGATGATTGAGAGCTGCGAATATATCAGCCATGTACGCTAAAATGAGAATGAACTCAGGATTTTTGAAGCAATCTGCATGGCAGTGTTGGTGCTCTTGCAAAAACAGGGCTAAATCCACACGTATGGCAAAAACACGATTCAGCACCTGTCCCCGGGATAACCACCGAATATTAGAATGGAGCAGAAGTACCTCAAATTCAGAGCCCATTTCTTTACACAGCTCACTGAAGATGCGGTGCCTCAGAGCACTTTTTCGCACATAGTTCACACATTCCACCACAGTTTTTAATACTTCTGCCATTTTTGGAGGTAAGGTTTTTGTTGCCAACGCATGCCTGTGCAGAATACAATGCGTCACAATGATGTGTGGTGCATCGGCCTTTACTAGCGCACCAAAACCAGACTTTC